GCTCATTGTACTGGATTCAAAGAAGAATATTGAGTAGAGCATTGGGTTAACTAGGAATATAGAAATCTTGAGTTAGCACATCAAAAAGAGTATATGTGAATAACTGAACGTACTTTCCAAAATTAATACAAAGTACCAGCAACGTTCTGCATCAGTGCTAAGCTAGCAGTTAAATAATTATGCAAAAAATCACTAGGAGCCAAGGTAGTCTCAGTAACTAACGAACCTTGATTATGTCATTTCGGCAGCGAATCTCGAGGAGAGGCGGAGCATTACTTTTTTGTTCAACAGAAACATTCAGACCAGATAAACACTGGAAATGAATTTAAGAAAATGCCTTACAAATACAAACATAGTCATAGGCCTACCTCAAGCTGAAATAATCCAACATCAATCACTTTGAAGAACTTCTTGTTTGGACGGGCAGTGGCATGAGATAAGGCATTCCTAGGTGTTCGGTGTTCTTCAAATCGAACGTTATCCTTGGACCTTTTGGTGTTACTCATGAACACACGCGCGCTCTCAAAGATACTGGTAACCTATAACACAACATTCTTGCATCCAGAATATCGCAAAAATGACAGACCTTAGCCATGTTCATATCTTGTATGATGGAACTACTTATGTCGGTCTCTCCAAGTACTAGTCTGTAATGGTTGTGGATAGATAATTTAGGAGCACAGAAACACAGATCACCTTAAGCGGATGTCACTGTCAGGTTTCGTCCAAGCATGATCGTAGGCCAAAACAACATTGTCCAGATGTATGTGCAGATCCGTCTGGATCATTTATGATGATATGTAGCGAAAAAAAAGAAGATATACAAATAACTCACCGTAACTATAGGGAGTTCGTAACCGGGAATAGGGTAGTCCTGCAGGGTGAACAAGTCAGCCAGTTGAAGGGCCCAAGTTTCCTTCAAACTTTTGAAAGGCCTGAGCTGTATGCAACTGTTCCGCACCGCTATTGCCAGCAGCACATCCTAAAATATTTGACGATAGTGCCTTTTCATTAGCAGTCTTCCAGATGTTACCTTTATATTCTGGCCAGGCCGCTCACACAGGTAAATAGCAACTCCAACGGCGTCCTCGGTACGTTGAGAACAGAATTCGTCCCCAGGAGGGATTGTCTCCATTTGGGTGTCATCCCTACTCCACTTACCAAAATCAGGGTGATTAACAATTTTGGGCATCGACGCGACATCTGTATAAGTAAAATGAAGGCTATAGCCATAGGGTTCGTTATGTACTCACTTCTAAAACCAACACCGATAGTATGTGTGGTAAAGTAGAAGTAAGTATCAGTCATCCTTCCGTGATAGCCACCCACAGCAAAAAGCTGTGCGTCTGCCAACTCCGTAGAAACATGTCCAGTGCCTCTCTCCACGTCATCCTAAATCATACTTTCTACATAATGACCGGGCTATTGTGATGAAGGTACACGAAAAAGTTTGAGTTCGTTGCGTCTTAGGGCCGCATGCATTAACATCCCCGCTGGGCAGGGGATCGCAACTTGATAGGAAGCTTTTTATCCTAAAGCTCCAGATATCTGGATTTCATGTTGTATACTTATAGGTAAGTACTCCTATCATCCTTCACTATGGAC